AATTTTAATGCAAAAGAATAACTTAAAGAAAGCGACTACTTAGACCACTACAATTTTATGTGTTATAAAATTTTTGACAAATATGTAATGAAGTTGTTAATATTAACAACTAATATTATTTATTGGACATGTTTATTATTTCATACTCGCTCTTTCATATAGGCCGTAGAGGTAATTAATTAAAAAAAATATTTTACTATAACTAACCTATTATTTCTAGTACTTTAGGTACTAAATTTTTCGAATCACGGACAAACCGCACATAAACACAGAATGCAACTAAGGTATACGTACCAAATGCGTACCAAGTGCACAAACGACAAAGCACGATAAATACCACGTGAAAACATCAGCAGCCACTGAACTAACAATAACAGACGCGAACACAGCAGTTCAGAGCATTTTTTGCCGTACTTGCCCTTCTTGGAACTTGGCAATCTAGTACGTACTGGAAACGAAACTCAATCGTCTGATTAATCGATAGTAGTAACCAGCGAAAGATTAATCAATTAATCAAATATAACTAAACAATCGATTAATCGATAATCGACTTATGATTAATCGATTAAAACACAAATCACAATTAATTAATCAATTAATCGATTAATCAAAAAAACACCGATCGATTAATATCACAGTCCCAGCCCTAATATGAAATCTGGAAATATTTAGGATTTAAAAAAAAATTACTTCCAAACTGAATATTGCGAAAAATTTGCCCACACATTATATTTTTCGAGTAAACTCGTCGAGATTAGGGCTGGGACTGTGATATTAATCGATCGGTGTTTTTTTGATTAATCGATTAATTGATTAATTAATTGTGATTTGTGTTTTAATCGATTAATCATAAGTCGATTATCGATTAATCGATTGTTTAGTTATATTTGATTAATTGATTAATCTTTCGCTGGTTACTACTATCGATTAATCAGACGATTGAGTTTCGTTTCCAGTACGTACTAGATTGCCAAGTTCCAAGAAGGGCAAGTACGGCAAAAAATGCTCTGAACTGCTGTGTTCGCGTCTGTTATTGTTAGTTCAGTGGCTGCTGATGTTTTCACGTGGTATTTATCGTGCTTTGTCGTTTGTGCACTTGGTACGCATTTGGTACGTATACCTTAGTTGCATTCTGTGTTTATGTGCGGTTTGTCCGTGATTCGAAAAATTTAGTACCTAAAGTACTAGAAATAATAGGTTAGTTATAGTAAAATATTTTTTTTAATTAATTACCTCTACGGCCTATATGAAAGAGCGAGTATGAAATAATAAACATGTCCAATAAATAATATTAGTTGTTAATATTAACAACTTCATTACATATTTGTCAAAAATTTTATAACACATAAAATTGTAGTGGTCTAAGTAGTCGCTTTCTTTAAGTTATTCTTTTGCATTAAAATTGTAAAAAAATTAATATCGTGTGATTAAACTTCAAATAATGAAATGTACGTATGTAGTATATGTACCTACATAGGTATTATACATACAAAAATACTCGAGTGCTAGTATACTTATTTTTTACTTTATTTTGCTTTCATATAGACAAGAAAATGCCACGAAGGAGTCAAGTTTGGAATTACTTTAAACAAAACAATCCCAAGTCCGCAACATGTATTACTTGCAAAAAGTGTATTGAAAACAAGGGAAACACCACGAATTTAAGAAATCATTTACAGTATCGACATCCTGTCCTTTTTAGAGAATTAAAAGGAATTGGAAGCAGCAATATCGACGACGATGGTGGGTGTGATGAATTAAGAAGAGAAAAATTTGCTAGTGAAACCCAACTAGTGGACCAACCTGGACCTTCAAGTTTTACCCAAAGTCAAGGGGGTAAAACCACGTTAGTCCAACAAAACTTATCGGAAAACTTTATTCTTCCCAAAAATAAAAAACTGAAACTCGATAAAGCTGTAGCCTACTGTATCGCAGTAGATATGATGCCATACAATACTGTAGAAAAAAAAGGTTTTCGAAAAATGTTGGAAGTTTTTGTTGCTGGTTACAAACCGCCAAGTAGAAAAACCATCACAGAAGACAAAATTCCTAAACTATACAATGCGACTGTAGAGAACATCAAAATGAAAATTAACGATATTAAACAAATGTCATTCACTACAGATTGCTGGACATCCACAGCTAATCAGCAGTATATCTCATTAACATGTCACTTCATCAATGAAGAATTTGAAATGATTTCTATTTGTCTCGGGTGCATTGAGTTAAATGAAGACCACACGGCTACTAATCTAGCAGATGCTATCAACATGATTTTGTGTGAATGGAGTATTGTAGAACGAACCTTTCTTGTAGGTTTTACTACAGACTATGGAAGCAATATCGTAAAAGCTATAAAAGACATGAAGGAAAACCATTTCTGTTGTTTTGGTCATGCAGTGAATACGGCTGTTTCAAAATGCTTTGAAAAAATTTTCTTAAAATCTCCAATTGACAAAATAAAAAAAATACAAGGAATTTTCGCTCACGGTGGAAAAGCATGTAGATTTCTTCATGAAATTCAAAATCAATTAAATATGGAAAAAAAGACAATACCTTCATTTTCAAAAACAAGGTGGTGGTCGCTATATCAACTTATTAGTGTGATAGTAGAACAGGAGTTACCTGTAGCGCAATTTTTGAAAACATATAATAAAGCGCAATATAGACATCTTTTATTAAGTGAAGAAGATATAGTTATGCTCAAAGAGGTGATACAATTGCTAGAACCTATTAAAAGTATCACAGAGCATTTATCAGGGGCACAATATGTTACTGCTTCTGTAATATTACCGATGTGTGAATTGATTGAAAATAAGTTACATGAACTAAATGATGCCACCCAGATCCAAGAAGACGTTCTTTGTCTTAGACACGAGATATTAAAAGAAATACTAGAGGTTCTGAAAAAGAGATATATGTCGGACGGAACACCGGACATTGCTTTACAGTTGTGCACGTTCTTCGATCCACGTTTCAAAGATTATTTTGTTCGGAATAGCGAAGTTGTAAGGGTTGATTATATTAAAAACTTTATTTTGAAAGAATCTAAAATTGTACACAATGAAATTGAAATAAGAAACAATCAACAAACAAAAAAGCGAACAACCTTTTCATTAATCTTTAATCAAACTCAAGCTAAAGACAAGGGTGAAGAATTGGTAGGACAAAAAGAATTAAATTTTTATACACAGTCACCACCCATTGATATGGACGACAACCCTCTGCAATGGTGGAAGATCAACGCTACTACCTACCCACATTTGAGTATATTATCACGTAAATATTTATCTATACAGGCCACCAGTGTGTCTTCAGAAAGAATTTTCAGTAAAGGAGGACTTATTGTTAGTGACCTAAGAAGTTCTTTAACGGGAGAACATGTCAGTCAGCTCATATTTTTAGCATGCAATGAAAAATATGTTGACTTTTAAGTATGTATGTACGAGTACGAGTATTTTTCAGTTCCACTTTATTCAAATTTCAAATTGTTATTTTTTTTTCAATAAATACGTATTATTACTTTATTTAGTGTTGTAATTTTATTACAAATGCTGACAAAAACTATGCTTTATATATAAACATTTTATAAATAATATTAGCTATTAATCATAATTGTTTTATATACAGTTGATTAATCGATTAATCGGAAATAATCGATACATTTTTATTATCGATAACTGATTACAAATTTTTATAATCGCGCAGCCCTAGTCGAGATCCATATCCCAGAATTTTTTGGGGATTTTTTGAACAACTTTCCAAAATTTTTCGACATTTTTCCATTTGAAAATTTGCGATCATTTTTTAGCCGTCTTGGAGAATTACCTGAAAACATTTTTCGTCGTCACGGGTTGAGTGCAATTGTGGCTCTCCGCGTAATTCACTTTTCGCACAAGGAATTGCATTACATTGGAATCGCGTAACAATTTTAAGGGGAGCAATATTGCAACGAGTTGTCGTCTTCTCTACCCCGGAGCATGCATTTTTTAAAATTAAAAAAAATTGTAGAGGAATATTTCGAAAATCTTATATTTTTCGGATCAGAATGCCGAGATTTTTTCTGGATTTTTAGGCAACTTTTCTAAACGTTCAATTTTTTAATTCCTTACAAAATTTTCGATCATTTTTGGACCACCTTCGAAAATTACCTAAATTGGGTTTTTGATAGATTTCGACAGCTTGAAGTTATTTTTTACTTCATTTCCCCTAGAATCTCCAAAGTGAAATATAGTTTTGAAATGAATTACATATACTTATGTATATTTAATAATAATAGAAAAATGTTTTCTTTAAATTTTGTAAAAAAAGTAGAACCTTTATAAAGTTAAACAAACTCTGGTATCTTCTAAAACGAAAATAGGTCATGCATGTACATCCACTAAATCTTACTTAAAGACGAATGTCAGTGTGAATAAAATATAAAATGTGAATTTTATTTTAAAGAAATCTTAGGCTTATCGCAGGGGTCAATTTTGGGTCTTTTGTTCTTTCTCATTTCCAGTAACGATTTAACACGTAGTTAGAAGATCTGATTCTTTCAGACACGTTTATTGAATTTATTGGTAAGCTCGCCTTACCAAATTTATTTATTATTCTCCCTCATAAAAATTTTATTCGAAACTAACATCAATTGATAGCCGCAGCAACTACATCATGTACACTTCCGCTACGTGCATCCACTACAAACACACTCAGTGCACCAGTTCCTGATCGCTCGATAAAATTTAACCTCCACGCTAGCTTTACATTCATGACTCCAAATCCACTATAAAGCTCGAAGGACAAAATGCACCACCTACATTCTCCTCCAGAGCATAATATGCAATCAGTTTACGTCGCATGCAATTTACATGCAAATATCTGCCGTCAGATTACACTTGATCCAGGCTGATGACTGGAACATTTTCCAATCTGACGGGCAGAATGATTAAATAAATCGTGATGTATTTTGACACAGCACTTTATTCCCGACTCTAATGGTGTTTTTCTTGTTTCAGGCACACTCTCCCCTACTAGGTTCCGGCGACAACAAACCCGTAAGTGAAGTAAAACTCTTTTCGCTCCTCCCCCCTCCTCACGCCCACCCACTTGCATTTCCCGCCTTTCCAATGTCGGATTTTCTTACCGGCGGCGGCGTCCGGTTTTCACGAGAGCTTTTCATGAAAGCTCTGCGGCTGCCAGTTCCACGCTAGCCAACAGCGCGAATTATTGGATTGTTGGCGGAACAAAGCTCCCCGTTTGCTGGAAATCTTAATCAAATAGCTCTAGTTTGACAGTGCGTTGCATGCATGTAAGGCATGCTAGCTGTCCCACTTTCAGCGAAGCGCAAAATATGAGAATTAAAACCGTGGCGTCTTATCTGTAGAAACCTAGTTCTTGAATCAAATTCCCATTTCTCAGCTTTATTAGACGATGCCAACACCGCCGTACTCACGTCGTATCCTAACTTCACGGAGGACCACGGTAAATTTTAATAAATGGCCGGGATTAGGAGAAGTGCCGGGATATTTGCAGTTTTGAGAGAAATTTATGATTAATTTAGTGTTAGAACGTGGATCCCGTCTCACAGATATAAAATGTGTAACGAGCATTTTATTAAAAGGCGCTCACTGGAGCAGACGTCAGAAATGTAATTCCGGCGAGTGCAGCCGTATCTAACACGACTCTCGTCTTAATCTTATTAAAAAGTGATCTTGCTTAGAAACTAGTATGCGACGTTAATGATTTGCTTGTTTGGGGCGAAACGTTGTTTTCTGCGATGTAATCAAATTAGTTCCACTGTTCGAGATTTAACATTTGGAAAGTCTTGACGTAATTTGATCGTTCTGTCTGATGGTATGAATGGGGCATCAGTGGCCATTATTTCGTATCACTTTGTTTTTTCCTCCGGTTTGTTTATTGGGGTGTTTGCGTGGTCAAAAATTTGCATATTTTTATGGGGCCGGGAAGAATTGCGAGCATATTTTGGACAGATTTCGATATAGTGGGATTTGTAAATGCTGGTCAAGATGTAAGTATATGATAATTTTACTTATTTTATTGATTTCCACGTTAGATTTTATGTTTCAAATTGCGCTTAAAATATAAAATATATAAAGCAAATCCGTTCCTGTTCAGCACTTGTTCACCTTCCAGCTTGAACAGAGGATGTGTCCATCTGTAACTTTTATGTATCAAAATTTTATTAGTATGCAAAAATAGTGGTTTTGGTATGTAATGTTATAAAAACATGAATTTTTACTTACCGGGCGTAAGCTAAGTCTCCCGTTTCCGTCTATCTGTCCTCTGTGTCGATTTTTATCAGACAGATAACCTCCAAAACTACTGGACCGATTGTCGTCCAATGTTATATGTATATATTTTAGAACAACTCAAATTATTTCAGACTATACTCTAAAATTATTTTTAACTGTACGAAATGCTCTGTTTTTAAGACATAACATACAGCTTGTTATTTTTTTTTTATAATAATACCTTACATATTTTTGGATATTTTGATTGACCTCTTCTTAGGCTTAGACATTGCTACGTTATTCCAATTTGTGTTTATAAAAATTTAATAATTACAATTTTGAGTAAACGATATTTCAGTTGTTTCAATTGGAACACCCTGTATTTTATTTCTGCATCTTATTTTATTTTTATTAATTGGTATTGGCGTTTGCGATTTGTTGTAAAATTAGATTGTGCAATTTTTTTGTAACAATTTCTACATGTAAATTTTTTGGATTGATACACGTTCGTCCAAAATTAGTACTGTAGCTGAAACAAATTGGTAGAGAGTATTTCGACAGAACTTCCCTCGCTCTTGGAAAAACGGAAAATCGAAATGTGTATGGAAAAATTGAAAGTTCGAAAATTGAAAAAATAAAAAAATTCGGAGAATCAAAAGATCGAAATTTGAAAAATCGGAAAAATCCAGAACTCGAGAAATCAAAAAATCGAAAAGTAAAAAAACTAAAAATTCGTTTATCAAAATATCAAAAAGTAAAAAAATTGAAGTCTGAGATCAAAAGAATGTAAAATTGAAAAATCGAAAAGAAGAAAGATTGGAAATTCGAGTATTGAAAATTGTTAACTCGAGAAATCAAAAAATCCAAAAGTAAAAATACTGAAAAATTTGAATTTTCAATTTATAAATTCGATGACTCAGATATTCGAAAAAACTAAAATCAAAGAAATCAGAAAATCTAATATTTGAATATCTAAAAATCGAAAAATCCAATAATCAAATGTAAGAAAAAACAAAATATCGAGGAATCGAAAAGTGGAGAAATGGAAAAATCGACAACCGAGAAATCAAGAAGTTGAAACATCGAGAAATCGAAAAGTTGAGAAGTCGAGAAGAAAAGTCAAGAAATGGAAAAATTCCCAAAATTGAAGTGTAGAACAGTTGAGAAATCGAAATTTCAAAAGTTGAGAATTCGAAAATTTTTAAACGTTAAAAAAACGAGAAGTCGAAAAATGGAAAATTCCAAAAACAAAAATCGAAAAATTTACGGAAAATCGAAAATTGTAAAATTAAAAAAAAAAAAATCGAATAGTAAAAAACTGAAATTCGATTATCGAAAAATCAAAATTAAAAAAAATAAACCTGAAAACTGAAGAATAGCAACATTGAAAAGACTAAAAAATTCGAAATGTCGAAAATTTTTCGAAAATCGAAGAATTAAAAAATTGAAAATCGAGAAAACGAAAAGGAAATAAATTGAAAATTCGATGAATCAGAAAATGTAGTTTAAATGTTCAAGAATCGAAAAATCCAATAACCGAGAGTAAGAAAAAACGAGATATCGAAGAGTCGAAGAGTGGAGAAATGAAAAAATCGAGACATCGAAATAAAAAAAATCGTAAAATGGATAAATTGGGAAATCGAAAAATGTAAAATTTAAAAAACAAAAAATCGCAAAGTAAAAAAACTGAAAATTCGGTTATCGAAAAATCAAAAATTAAAAAAAAAAATTAAACCTGAAGAATTGAAAAATTGAAAATCGAGGAAATAGATTGAAAATTCGATGAATCAGAAAATCTGAGATTTAAAAATCTAAAAATCGGAAAAGCCAATAATCGGACGTAACAAAATCGAAATATCGAAGAGTCAAAAGTGGAAAAATCGAATTTTAGAAAATTAAAAATTTCAAAAATCGAAACTGCAAAAACCGGGAAACCGAAAAATTGAAAAATTGAGAAATCGATTTATGAGAATATCGAAAAATCGAAAAGTTCAGAAGTCGAGAACAAAAATCAGGAAATGAAAAAATCCCAAAATTGAAGTGTTGAATAGTTGAGAAATCGAAATTTAAAAAATTGGAAGTTCGAAAAGTTTTATACATTGAAAAACCGAGAAGTCAAAAACCGGAAAATTCGAAAAACAAAAAATCGAAAATTAACAATACAGAAAATTCAATTATCAAAAAATTCGAAAAGTCGAAAATTTGAAAAATCGAAGAACTGAAAAATTGAAAATCGAGCAATCGAAAAGGAAATAAATTAAAAATTCGATGAATCAGAAAATCTAAAATTTAAATTTCTAAAAATCGAAAAATCGAAGAGTCAAAAAGCGGAGAAATGGAAAAATCGAGACATCGAAATTAAAAAAAAATCGAATATCAGATAATCGGAATTCGATAAATGGAAAAATTAAAATTTCCAAAATTGAAAATTTGAAAAATCGAAAAGCCGAAAACCGAGAAACCGAAAAATTCAAAAATTGAGAAATCGATTCATGAAAATATCGAGAATTTGAAAAGTTGAGAAGTCGAGAACAAAAATCAAGAAATGAAAAAATGTTGGAACAGTTGAGAAATCGAAATTTCAAAAATTGGAACTTCGAAAAATTTTAAACATTGAAAAACCGAGAAGTCGAAAAATGGGAAAATCGAAAAACAAAAAATCGAAAAATTTAACGGAAAAATTGTGAAAATCGGAAAGTAAATAACTGAAAATTCGATTATTGAAAAATCAAAAAGAATAAAAAATGGAACTCTGAAAACTGAAGAATGGAAAAATTGAAAAGACGAAAAGTCGAAAATTTTTACGAAATCGAAGAGGAAATAAATTAGAAATTCGATGAATCAGATATTAAAAAAAAAAACAAAAATCAGAGAAATCAGAAAACCTAAAATTTGAATATCTAATAAAAATCGCAAAATCCAAGAATTGGAATTAAGAAAAAACCAAATATCGAAAGTTTAAAAATAGAAAATTTCTAAAATTGAAAAATTGAAGAGTCGAGAAGTGGAGAAATGGAAAAATCGAGAAGTCGAAATTTGAAAAAAAAATCAAATATCAAAAAATCGAAAATTCGAAAAATGGAAAAATCGAAAATTTGAAAATTGAAATTTTGAAAAGTGGAAAAGCCGAACAGCGAGAAATCAGATCATCAAAAAATTGAAAATTAAAACATCGAGAAATCCATTCATCAATTTATGTATCAAGAAGTCGAAAAATTTTAAACATTGAAAAATCGGAAGGCCCATAACCGGGAAACCGAAAAATTGAAAAATTGAAACATTGAGAAATCGATTCATGAAAATATCGCGAAATCGAAAAGTTGAGAAATCGAGAACAAAAATCAGGAAATGAAAAAATTCCCAAAATTGAACAGCTGAGAAATCGAAATTTCAAAAATTGAAAATTCCAAAAATTTTAAACATTGAAAAACCGAGAAGTCGGGAAATGGAAAATTCGAAAAATCTAAAAATTGAAGTATTAAAATTAAAAAAAATGAAAAATCGAAAAATTCAAAAATCCTAAAACTGAAATGTAGAAAACTTGGGAAATCGAAAAATTGAAAAATCGAAACATTAAAAATTGGAAAATCGAGAAATTCAAAAAGTCTAAAACTGAAATGAAGAGAAATTGGGAAATCGAAAAGTCGAGAAGTTGAACAATTAAAAAATCAAGAAATCTAAAAATCGAAAATTGAAATAACCCAAAATCGAAACATTCAAATTTGCGAATTAAAAACAAAATTTTTCTTAAAGTAAAAGTGTTCATGGACAATCAATGAAAAATTGAAAAATTTAAATTTCGA